TTTAAGTGGAAACTGTCACTTTAAATTTCCAGGAAATCTATGCGCATGCGTAGTAGACCCATTGGGGCTGGGGGTGGGGTGTCCACTTGCTCAAGCACACCCTCTAGTCTTCAAAATGGGGGTGCTCAGATAGAGACCAATGAACAGATACAAAAATATATAAAAAAAGGAATGTCCACACCTTTTTCTCCATGGTTCTGTCGGGTGTGTGTGGCTGCTCTGATCCTTCCCCTGTTTGGTCTCATCCATGTTAGCATCTCCGGGTGCAGCTGGGTGTCTTGGATTAGAAAGCAATGGATTTCTTGCTTCTGCTACAGTTTCCCCTAGCTGTAAGCCTTCCAACCTTCTAAATATTCCTTTATATGTGGTTCAGAGTTCTGGGACCAACCCCTGAACCTGCTTGGTCCGGTATTCTGTGTTGTTGCTGACAGAGCTCCTCACTGCACTTCCACCCGATCCACCATCTTGTTTGTTCTTGTTTCAAACATTTTGTGTTTCGAATCCTTCTAATGAGTTTGAAGAGAAACTGTTTCTAAATAGTTGTGTTATCTCATAGTCAAAGCGAATATGAATGGTAGGATGTAACTAGTTTATATTGTAAGCTTGGATTTTGCCACTCAGTTGAGACAAAATACGCTTTTTCTCTTTTAGATTAAAAAAAAAAAACTACTTAGAAGTTGATACTGAAAATTTAGAAAAGCAACACTGTAATAAGTATATAGATAATGAATCTTTTAAATACTGAAAAAAATATTTGATACATATTTGTGTAACGTTCTAGGTTAAATAAGCTTCACGTTACAGGGCTTTCTGGTTACAAGTTGGGCTGATAACCTCAAGGTCATCAGTTCAAAACTATTAGGCGTTCATTGGAAGAAAGATGAGTCTTTCTGCTCCTGTAAGATTTACAGACTTAGAAACCCTATGCAGGATCACTATGAGTCAGAACCGGCACATAACCACCATAAGTAGGTCCTGGATTGTAGCTAATTGTTCTGCCAAGACCTCATATTTTGTTAGGAAGAAAAGAAAATTAAGGTATTAAAACCATTCTTTTCCTTTGTCTCCTGAATTCCAAGTACTCTGTGATCACTTGTGTTGTTTTTTTAAGCACCAGGGCTAAGCTATGCTTAGCTCAGACAACTGATTAATGATAAAAAATATTTTTGCTTGTGGTTATTTTTAGATGAAATAGGCAGTGGATCATATGAAGCATTTCACTTGTATCTTCATTAGAGTTGTATACAATAAACTTTCAGACGCTGGGAGAAAGCAGCTTATTTTGATGGAAACAAATAGCTTCTTGTTTCTAGTGATTCTAGATAAGGAATTCAGGTTTGCTTCTCTCTTACAAGGAGTCCTTGTGGTGCTGTGGTTAAGCACTTTACTGTTACCTGAAAGGTTAGTAGTTTGAACCCACCACCAGCCACTCTGGGAGAAAGATGAGGTAGTCTGCGTTTATAAAGATTACAGCCTTAGAAATTCTAGAGTTTTTCTCCTCTGTTTTATTAGGGTCATTATGAGTTGAAATTTACTTGAAGGCCATGTTTTCTCTTTAATAGATGGAATGATTTATTTCATTTTTGAGTAAAATTTTATGACAGGGTTGAGACGAGGTGATGGGCTATATAGATTGGAAGTATTCAGAGGGGAGTTTGTTGTGAGGACTGATGTATTAATAACTAAGCAGAGGAGAGACTTTTTATAGCACCAGGTATATAATGGGTATTTAATTCATTAAATATCCCTTCTAACCCCAACACATACCCCTTATGCTTAAATCCAGAACTCTGTATCTGAATATATTAGGATAATAGTAAGACTAAGTCTGGCGAAAAGATGGGTGGCAGGGAGAGCTGGTATTTGAGTCCTGTTTGACCCTTTTACAAATTTCTTTAATTCGTGGAAGCCTCTTCTTGAACAAAAGGTAAGCTTACCTCTGGAAAAAATATTTAGGAAAAACTGAAATCTAACAACAGCCATCTTTAGAAGTGACCCAAGTGATAAAATTCTTAAAATCCAATCTGGTTGTAATCTCAGGGCATGACTGACTTTAGACTTTATAATTACATTATGTCTTATCAGCAGAAAGAAATATCCATTTGAAGTCCTGGTGTGGCACTGTGGGGTAAAGTACTGGGCCACAAGGTCAGTTTGAATCATACGGTTGATTGATGGTTTAAACTCACCAGTCACTCCTTGGAAACCCTACACAGGGTTGCTATGAGTTAGAACCGACTCGACGGCACTTAACACAAACAACAATATGAGAATTGCTGGTCAGTAATGAAAGAATAGAAAAAGAAGATTCAGAGGCATATAAAAAGTGTCCTTCCTGGTACTGTTGCCCAGGGGAGAGGGATCCTAGGTCCCTGAGTTTGAGGGCCTGGTTTATGCATTTAATGGTGATGGACATATCAGACTATCCTGGCATGATGATACAAGTTATATATCCATTCATCTTCTTGCTCTGATTTTCTATTCTGGTGTGGCACTGTAGGTAAGCTGGACCTCAAGGTCGGTTTGAACCACAAGGTCAGTCGTTCAAACTCACCAACCGCTCCTTGAAAACCCTATATAGGGTTGCTATGAGTCAAAACTGACTCTATGGCACTTAACAACAACATGTTATTTGCCAGGCACTGAGTTAAGTATTTTGCAAAATCTTAATTTTTTCTTACAATATAACGATGGAGTATCTCTATTTTATAGATGAGCAAATTGAGTCTCAGAAAGGTAATATGACTTCCTCTAAACTTCATATCCAAAATTAGTGAAGACTTGAGATTGGAATTCAGCTCTCTGAATCCAAAATGTTTCCCTTTATGTCGTGATGCTTTTCAGGTAGATTTGCTTGTTGAGAAAGGTTATGCTGAATAGTAAAAGTAAATGGGTGGTTGGGTCCCCTCAGCGCAAATCCCCTTACAAGACTAAGACTCAATGGGAATACACGCTCTGATTGGTGACCACGTTTGTTACCGATAAAGGGAAGTGAGGGAAAAACAGCAATGAAGCTGTGAGCTAAGCCCTACAACGTTCAGTAGACTCCTGTGAACCCGGGTGTAGACCTGGTTGGCCAGCAGTGTAGCAAGACCTGGGGACTCTTGAGCCCAGAGTCAGTGACATAGCCACAGAGGACTAGAGTAGAGAGTGAAGCATCCAGCTGATAAGAAGAGAGGGCATATTCATAAGAACATCCACACATGCAGATAATATCCACTTGACTTGGCTTCAATGACTGAATGATCAGAGCTCAACTAGAAGAAGAAAGAAGAGGGAAAAAAAAAGAGTAATTTGATACAATTTGATGAACTTGACCTATACCTATGGATGCAGTAGCTCAAAAGAGGGAACAAATCTCATCATTCCTACCCCCTCCATATGCAGAGTAGACAGGGATGACCAACTTGGATATTGGTTACTCAAAGTCCGGGGGAGGTGGGGGGGCTACTAGGGCAAGAAGTGACTGGCTTTCAAAAGGGAACCTAGATCCACACGGTGTGGAGGAAGGTAAATCTCCACTGAGTAGTATCCAATCTGTCTGGGCGGGGCTGATGAAAGGAGATGGGGATAGGTCTCTTGTGATACAATAGTAAATAATTGCTATCAGGACTGACTGTGAGGGTTGGAAATGTAAAGGTAGATGGTTTTCAGCAAGGAGGGGAGTGCTTGACTTTGAAGTCCAGGAGCAGAGGTCCCTGGGACCATCAAAGGAGAAGAGTGAAGTGTGGGACCCTACCCAGAGAAGCAGTGACACCAGAGATGGAAGCAGAGACTATGACGTGGAGAGATGGAGTGGCTGGGGACTCTAGACCCAGAGAGGGAGAGGGGCTGTGTGCTGTTACTGGGGGACAGGCTTGCAGGGTATATAACCTTTGGTTGGTTGATGATGCATGGAGGGGATTGTAACCATGGCAATGAAATGATATATGATAGGATGAATATAAAACTAATGTTCTCCCATGTAAACTATCACATAATTCACAATAAAACATTTAAAAAAACACCACAAAAAACTCTGTGGAGCGTGGTTCTACTGTGGCACACATGGGATCATCATGAGTTGCTGTCAATTTGGTCATAACTAGGTTGGCTCCACAAACAGAGTGGGGGACACATAATTTATTAAAATATTTTAGAAAGTCACTCAAATGATAACTGAACCTTTATATCAGGGGTGGGGAATCTTTTTTGCCAAATTAATACCATCATTCAAGGTGATGCAAAATTATCAACTTAAAAATTAGCCTGCTAAAAAACCCCCAGAGGGAATGCAAGTAAATGTTGTTAAATGATGATGTATGGAGGGGATTGTAATCATTGCAATGAAATGAAATATGATAGGATGAATGTAATGTAAAGCTGATGTTCTCCCATGTAAACTATAACTCAATTCACAATAAAAACTTTAAAAAAAAATAAATAAATGGGCCATTTAACAATACTTTTTTCACTGTAAGTAAATAAATTGGCTTTTATTTAATTTTATTATCTGTTTTTTACATATATGGTCTCTAAATCTGGTTTGATATGATTAGCCAAGAGACAACACTAGGTTCTTGAGCTTATAATAGAAGATTGAGCGAGGGTCAGACCCTATATTATTTGGTGTTCACCAAGATAATACTCCCCTGTAAGGGTGTGTGTGTGTGGGGTGGGGGTTGGGGGAGTGAGAAAGAATGTTAGAATGACTTTTGAGTTTCTCAGGCCTCATCTACTCTTGCCATAACCATTCCATTTAATCCTCAAATTATCGTTCCTTCCTTAAAAAGCGTAGTTAATTTTAATCAGCAGTGGGAGCCACTATAAAAGCATTCTTCAAAAATCTTATAGATGCTGTATTGTCAGGAAAACACTGTCCTGGGAATTAGTGATACCCTGGAGTGCCAAGCATTAGGTTGTGTAAAACTACATGCTAGTTTTACACTACTTGTATGAGACAACTGCATATTTAGCTTTCTACTGAAAGACTTTTATTTATTTCTTCCTTTCTTTTATAGGAATATATTTGTCCCAGATGTGAATCAGGCTTTATTGAAGAAGTGAAAGATGATTCCAGGTATTGTACAAGTTCATGAATGAATCAGGCCTTCTGTCAGAATTATTTTTTGCCAGCATCACCTGAATGAATTAGAGAGACTTTATTTTATGACTTAATTTCTCTGTCAGTGGAGGAGGTGTGTGCTTGGGGGTGGAGAGAGTGTGGAAAAGTGAGAGAGGGAAGGAGAAGAAAAACAGCAGGATTTGGAAAGTGATCTGATGGTGGGTGTAATGAGATCCACTGTTCGTACTTGTGGATGGCTTTCTTGGGGGAAATTCTATATCAATATCAAAGTCGATCTGGAAAATTTTCACTTATTTTCTGAGATTTCAAGATTCGCTAAGATTGTTGATTGAATTTTAGTGAGCATTCTGCCTCTGTAAACCGGAAGGTACATTGCTGTTTGACCTTTTAGTGGGCAGGGGAGTGGCTTCTGACAAAAATATTTAATAAGATACAGTTTATAAAATTGTTCTAGATAGGAAAATGAAGTTATTACTTTTCTTTGTTCTTTTCCAGGTAAAGGCTTTATGATTTTTGTGGTCAAATTTTTGTCATTTTGCCACTATATTATTAACATTTATGTTTGTAATGTTTGAAATGGGCTAGCATTCGTTTTAATAAAGATGTAAACCTAATAAAAAGAGTGAATATTTCTGAAAGTGATAACACAAGGGGATTTCAAAAAGTTCATGGAAAAATTCCATTATTTTAAAATTTCATTTGTCCACAAATGTTTGAAGCCCCTCCATACTTTACATTCATTCTTGGTTAATATGACTAAAACCACAAAAACTTAATGACGACATATAGCAATGGTAGGGTGGCTTTTCTTTGGCCAAATATAAAGACTTTTTTGTTTTCTTTTAGAATTACCTGATTTAACATTGGTTAGACAATTAGAAACAGATAAAAGTAATATGTAATCTGAAACTTTTAATTTTGGAGTGTTTTTGGAGATTTTAGTGGCAGTAGGTAATTCCTATACTATTGCTGTTGGCAGAGTCTAGAGTTGAAGTTTTCTTCCACAACCAGGAAAACTGCAAACTTTACAGTATGTACTATTAGTTTGGCTTTATTAATGATTGCTGACTATCTGAAAATGAGCTGGAGCATCTCTGGCAGTTTGTGGCATGAGATTTAGTTTGATACACTTACTTTGATCTAATATAATGGTTTTAAATAATATAATACACTAAGATTAGCATGAAAGCAAAATTAGCAATTTTGTGTGGATGGCATGCCAATTTGGGATATATTTTTATTTGTGCTACTATGTTTGCATTAAATACTTATTTTAGGCATTTATGCTCTGCATGTGTTTTAAAAAAGGATGTATTAGCTGGAAGAGATAATTAATGGGTATATTTTTTTCTAGGTTTCTTAATGGTAATCTTGGTTTCTTTAGTTAGGACTATGTACAATGTACTTATGACATGGCACTATAGGATAAGCACAGGACTGCAAGATTGATTTGAACCACAAGGTTGGTGGTTCAGGCTCACCAGTCGCTCCTCAGAAACCTATGTTGGGTCACTATGAGTCGGAACTGACTCGACGGCACTTAGCATCAACAACAAATGTACAATGTACAGCTATAAATGAAGGTACTGTTTAACTGCAGGATGAATCTTTGCCTAGAAGGAAACCTATGAATCCTGTGGATTCTGTTCTTGCTTGACTTCATTTATATGTGCCTTTGTATATCAAAGATTGTATTGTGTAGCTACAGTTGGAAGCAACTACTCAAATGTAAAGATACTGCTTCTTGAAAGAGATCAGTGTCTTAAATAGGTGAGAAAATCTTTTTTGTAGACTCAGTGTTAGTGGCAACATGGTATTTCCTATTATAAAGTTCATAAATAAAGCCAATTTGAACACTTGGCAGTTAACAATTGTAATAATGGATAGTAAGAATTAACATGTTTTTACATGTAAATATTGGGTAATACCCTATTTTTTTTTAGACCCACCTCTAGAGGAATACCTTATAAGATTTTGTAAGCTTTGTAACATTTCTGAAAACTTTGTAACATTTCTGAAAACATTGTGGTTGCTTTTATTATACTTTCCTTATGATTAGCTTGCTGTGAGTACCAGGCTGCTAACCTCAAGGTTGGCAGTTCAAAGCCATCAGCCTCTCCTCCGAAACCCTATGAGTTGGAACCTACTCGACAGCACTTACAACAACAGCAGTGATTATTTCTGTTGTTAGTTGCCATCTAGTTGGCACTTACTCTTGGCAACTTTATATGTATCAGAATGAAACGTTGCCTGGTCAGTGCCATTCTCCTGATCACTGTCACTCTTAAAGTATAAAGGAACATAAGGAAAGGGAATACTGAGGACTTTCAAGGGGAAGCAGAACCCCAAAGAATAGGTATTGGTGGTTTCGGTTACCGAGGGTAGTTGAATGCCCTGAGACCATGTAGCAAAGGCAGGACAGAAGAGCCTGTCTGGGACCCTAGTTTGGCTGGGCAATGAGGATACTCAGCAGCTCAACTTTGTTTTTAAGTTGTTAGTCCACTTAGTTATTTAGCACACCTGTATGTGTAGTTTTTAGCTTATTTTGTGTTTGAAATAATTTTATGAAGCAAATGCAGTCATTCAATAGTATTTTATTTTATTTTAAATTTAAGGTTTTTATTGTGGATTGAGTGAAAGTTTACAGGGCACATCATCAGTTTCACATCCAACATTTCATATAACTTGTTTCATTACATTGATTAT